CTCCTTCCCTCTACCCCCCCTTCCTGTCATACCATGTGCTGCTCTGGTTAAATTTGAAAGGAGACTTGTAACTGGGCCTCCCTGGTGGTGCAAGGGGTTAAGATGCAGCACTATGAAGCTGTCTGTAGCCGCTGCAGCATTAATTTGATTCCCCGCCAGGGAAGTGACCCACATGGCACAGCAGACCTCTCCTGTCTCGCCCACTGCTCTCCTCACCAGTGTATTTCAGCGGAATCTGCCTCTTCTGCTCCCCACTCTGTCGCTGGTGAATCCTTTCACCCCTGCATCTCTGGCCTATACCCCAGCTCTTGTATGCATAAATAAATAAATCTTTAAAAAAAAAAAAGAAAAGAAAGGAACCTTGTAACTAATTGACTGGTCTGGACTGACCTTGTATTTGAATGCAGAGCTGCACATAACCAAGATGGTCGCCAAGCAGGTCATTTAAGTCTAGCAAGCCCACAAATTCCAAATGGGTTAAAGATTTAGATATAAGACCTGCAATAAAAAAAAAATACATGCAAGAAAATATTAGCTATACCTTCCATGATATCAACTATAAAGATATTTTTGGTTACTCAACCCCTGGCAAGGGAATTAAAAACAAAAATAAACAATTGGGATTACCTCAAGCTAAAAGTCTGCTATACAGTGAAAGAAAATATAAGAAAATTAAATAGACACCTTACCGAATGGGAGAAAATATTTACACAATACATAACTGATAGGAATTAATATCCATGATATATAAAACATTTATACAATTCAACAATGGAAAACAAACAAATGGCCCAATTAACAAATGGGCAGCATATATGAATGGACAATTAACCAAAGACGATATCCAGAAGGCCAAAAGACATATGAAAAAAAGTTCATCATCACTCCTAGTAAGAGAGATACAGATTAAAACTACAATGAGATACCACCTCACACCCATGAGAATGGCACCTATCATAAAGATTCCCAGTAAGTGCGGGAGAGAACTGGAGAGGTTGTGGAGAGAAGAATTACACGATTGATTACACAATTGATGGGAATGTGAACTGGCGCAACCATTATAGAGAGCAAACTGGATTTACCTCAGAAAACCAAGACTGGAAATACTGTATAACCTGGTAAACCCTCCTTTGGGGACCTTCCTGGTGGTGCAAGGGTTTAAGATGCAGCACTCTGAGGCTATCCACAGCTGCTGCAGCCTGAGTTCAATCCCCGGCCAGGGAGCTACCCACATGGCGCAGCAGACCTCTCCTGTCTCACCCGCTGCTCCCCACAGCAATGTATTTCAGTCAGTGTGTCTGTTCTGCTCCCCACTCTGTCTCTGGTGAATCCTCTCACCCCCCCCCACACCTCTGGCCTGTACCCCAGTTCTTGCATGCATCAGTAAATACATCTTTGGGGGGGAAAAAACCCACCTTTGGGCATATATCCACAGAATATGAAACCATCAACAAAAAACACCATATGGCCCACAATGTTCATAGCAGTATTGTTTACAGTAGCTAGGAAGCAGCTAAATTCTCCTTCAGTGGACGAATAGATCAAGAAGATGTGGCACATGCACACCATGGAGTTTTATATAGCCATACGAAAGAATGAAATGCAGCCATTTTCACAAAATGGAGAAAATCAGAGAAAACTATGCGCAGCGAAGTAAGTCAGAACTATAAGAATATTGGACATTCACATAACAAACAATGTAAAATACCTTCAAGCAAATGTTACTAGACATCAACAAACACCCTGAGGTCTCTGCTGTTAAGAGGGAAGGAAGAGGAAAAGGAACAAGAGAACATAAGGGATGGTGGGGGGGCGAAAAACAGGAAAGAAATTCACTGATTACAAAAAATAATTCTACCTAAAATACTCTGTGAATTTTTTAAAAAGATTTATTTATTTATGCATACAAGAGCTGGGGTACAGGCCAGAGATGCAGGGGGTGGGGGGTGAGAGGATTCACCAAAGACAGAGTGGGGAGCAGAACAGGCAGATGTGCTGAAATACACTGCTGAGGGGAGCAGTGGGTGAGTCAGGAGAGGTCTGCTGTGCCATGTGGGTAGCTCCCTGGCCAGGGCTCGAACTCGTGCTGCAACAGCTGCAGATTGATTCATAGGCTGCGTCTTAACCCCTTGCGCCACAGGGAGGCCCTCTTTGTGAATTTTATGATCACAATAAATATGTCCTTTTACTTTCTGGTTGGTTTAATAAAAATAATAAAATAAAATATGCTTTCTAAAATATAAAATATAAAAACTTTAATGAAAAGAGACAGAAAACATCAGAGACGGCATAGAAAAAATTAAAACATTAAGCTATAAATAGAAACAAAAGCAAACATCACTTATCATAATAATGGTCTATGAGTCAGAGGCAAATAGTTGGGAAAGGTTCAAAGTATTTCAGTTATACACATATCCCCTCCTTCAGGAATTGATCCTTTACTTTTATTTGGAATTTGCATTAACTAAATGTTTTATAATTTATGATTTAATGTATTATTTAACAATGACATATTATAATCTAAAAAAAACAAGCATTAAGTGCTTAATAATTATTTCTTTGAATACATAAAGAATGGATCCTTTATTTTTACTTTGCATTTGTATTAATTGTATCTTCTCATCCAAGAGGTGAATTCTTCATAGATTTTTCTCAGTCCAGCTCCTCTATCTTATCAATAGTAGGAATTCCTTCCACTATTCACTGGGTCAGTCCCACAGGGAGGGTCTGTCCTGGACGGAAACTAAGAAGACGGTAGTGGACATTTGTTATCCTTTCAGTACATCTTGTTAATAATTATTTACCAACCCCTGCTGTTCACCAGTAAGTTCTCTCCATTTTTCATGTCCCTGTGGTGGTTTGAGTGGGCTGCTAGGACCAGCGACACCAAAGGCTGGTACAATCTAAAGAAAAAGGCTGGTGCCACATCCTGCTTGACATCCTCAGGGAGTGCCAGCTGGAGTCCTGCTCTCTTTCTCCCACTCTCAGGTCTTCCCTGGCACTACCACAGCCTCTGTGGGCTCAGGTTCATTCTGCCTGGACTTTCACTCTCCTTTTTGTTCCTGAGGCCCAGATCTGCGTCTCAGGCATACAACTGTGAACCTTATGGTCTCTACCACAAAGCAAGGTTTTAACAAATTAATCTCTGGGTGAGAAAAGACTTTACGGCGCAGTGGACAGAAACACAACTCAAACTGGTTCATATCACAATTTTACAAGGAGTGATCAGGCTTAAGGCAGAACTGGATCTGCAAGTTCAGATGATATCATCAAGACTTAATCTCGGGCCTCCCTGGTGGCACAAGGGGTTAAGACACAACCTATGAAGCTATCAGCAGCCACTACAGCACGAGTTCAATCCCCGGTCAGGGAGCTACACATGGCACAGCAGACCTCTCCTGTCTCACCTGCTGCTCCCCTCAGCAGTGTATTTCAGTCAATCCATCCGTTCTGTTCCCCACTCTGTCTCTGGTGACTCTTCTCACCCCCATACCTCTGGCTTGTACCCCAGTTCTTGTACGTATAAATAGCTTTTTTTAAAAAAATACTTAATCGCTCTGTAAGATAATCACAAAAAATAAATAAATATATATATAAGACTAAAAGTTAAAAAAGAAGAGACTTAGTCTCTCTCCATCTCTTAACAGTTCTTTCCTGTGTACTGATTCACTCTCCAACACCTCCCTCGTAGCGACAATATGCCGCCAACAACCTCAGCGCCCCAACAAAAACAGAATTTCTTTGCCCTCAAAATGCCAACAACAAAAATTAGTAACCAATTCTCATGGGACCGGCTTGGACCATAAGGTCATGGTTAAATCAAATACTGAGACCAGAAAGATGGAATGCGAATCAATAGGGCCTGTTGAGAGAGCACCCCGAAAAACAGGAAGGGAGTTGGTAAATAAATATTAACAAGAAGAACTGAAAGGATCATAAATGATCACCACCATCTTCTTAGTTTCCGTCCAGGAAGAACCCTCCCCTCCTCCCTGTGGGACTAACAGAAGCGAGAAGACCACCATGCCTCTGCTGCGTGCATCCGAGCTCACAGAACACTCTCACATCGTCCCGCTTCATTGTCACCACCAGTCACTAAATAGCATCACCCTTTGTACCCTTTGTACAGTTTAGGCAACAGAGATTTAGAGACTTAGAGACATTAGGGGCTTTGCTAAGTCACAAAGCAGGTAAGGTGGGGCCTCCCTGGTGGCGCAAGGGGTTAAGCATCACACTATGAAGCAATCCACAGCCTCAGCAGCACGAGTTCAATCCCCAGTCAGGGAGGTGACCCACATGGCGCAGCAGACCTCTCTCATCTCGCCCGCTGCTCCCCTCAGCAGTGTATTTTCGGTTCTGTCTCTGGTGAATCTTCTCTCCCTCCCTCCCCTGCATCTCTGGCCTGTACCCCAGCTCTTGTATGCATAAATAAATAAATCTTTAAAAAAAAAAAAGGCAGGGCCTCCCAGGTGGCGCAGTGGGTTGAGCACTGCGCTGTGAAGCTGTCCGCAGCCTCTGCAGCGCAGGTTCGATTCCCAGGTGGCCAGGGAGAAACCCACATGGTGCGGCAGACCTCTCCTGCCTCTCCCACTGCTCCCCTCAGCAGTGTCTTTGGTCCATCTGCCTGTTCTGATAAATTCTCTTACCCTCCTGTGCCTCTTACCTGTACCCCAGTTCTTGTATAAATAAATAAATCTTTTTTAAAAATTAAAGAAAAAAAAGCAGGTAAGGAGTCAGCAGAGGGCTATGGAGTGGTGCGCCTCTTACCTGTACCCCAGTTCTTGTATAAATAAATAAATCTTTAAAGAAATTAAAGAAAAAAAAGGCAGGTAAGGAGTCAGCAGAGGGCTATGGAGTGGTGCATGGGAGAAGAACACCACGACCCCAGACAGTTTCCTCTTTGCAGCTCCCCCACTTCTTCAACCACATCCTCCTCCACTTCGAGGGCAGCAGTCCTTCACCTCTCCCTCCCCCTTTGCCAGGGCCCCAGTCTCTCTCCCACATCTTCTTATCCTGCCAGTTTCTGCCACACCTCCTCCCCGACCTTTGCTCTGGCTCCTGGCTTGTTTTCCTCTGCACCCAGGAACCACTTTCACTCCCTGCCTGTCCTTCCCACCAGCCACAGCATGTGCACTGGCAAGTGTGCTCGCTTCCTGGGGCTCTGCCTCATCCCTCTGTCCCTGATCAGCATCATATCCAACGCCCTCCTGCTGGCGCCTAATGGGGAGACCACCTGGACAAATAATCTCAGCAAGCAAGTCTGGTACATGGCTGGCTTCATCGGCGGGGGCCTGATGGTGAGAAGGGAGTCCAGGGAGCATGGGCTGGGAGCTGGGCACTAATCTTTGGGCTTCTGAACAGGCGGGAAGAGAGAAAAGGATGGCTGCCCGGGAAGGGCTGGCAACATTGTGGTGGGGGTCCTTCTATCTGCTCCTCTTCTGTCTGTGCCCAAACACTGAGCACTCTGCAGTGGTCCTAGAGGAGCCTGAATCCTGAACTGTGTGACTGAGGGCCATGAAGAGGGGAGCCTCTACTCTAAACAGCTCCCCTTCTGAGAAGGCAGTATGTACCACTTCCCCCTCCCTGCCCCCACTTGGAGCAGAAGTTGGGAACACCTCACTACAAGGGTCAGGCAGGAGGAACAGCTGGCTGCGTAGGAAGTTATCAGGGCAGATAATAATGGGCATGGGAGTGGGAAGTAGAGTCAGGGAGCAAGATCACAGGTCAATCATTCTACTATTAGCTCAACCTTTCCACCCTGATGTCCATTCACTCTCAGCCCATATTTCTGGATGGATGCCCACTCTGCACCAGGCACAAAGGATAAACTCGGATGCTAGGCCAGTAAGGCAGAGAAGGTGCCCCCACTTGTCTGACTAGGATCTATCCAGAGAAGTGGGGAAGGGAAGGCACAGGTTTCCTGGACTTCTATTGGTGGTCACATCTCTTCCAACAATCCGCTCTTATTCTCTGGGGTCTTTTCTCGCTCTCTTTTTTTAAAGATTTATTTATTTATACATACAAGAACTGGGGTACAGGCCAGAGATGTGGGGGGTGAGAGGATTCACCAGAGACAGAGTGGGAAACAGAACAGCCAGATCAACTGAAATACACTGCTGAGGGGAGCAGCAGGAGAGTCAGGAGAGGTCTGCTGCGCCATGTGGGTAGCTCCCTAGCCAGGGATCGAACTCGGTCTGCAGTGGCTGCAGCAAGCTTCATAGGTTGTGTCTTAACCCCTTGCGCCACTAGGGAGGCCCTGGGGTCTTTTCTCTTAACCGTCCCCTTAACACCATGAATTCATGGCTGTGGGACCAGACTCTATCCCTCTGAGATCTCACACTCCTCCCAGGTTTACACAGTCACCCTATGCCACAAGGTACCTGTTCTCCAGCCTAAATGATCCTCATCTTTCCACAAATTTAACCAGCCTGCTGAAGGGAAAAAGCCCAAAGATGCCCTCCTAACATATTCATTGCCAGGTGCCTTCCTCCCCCAACTCCATGCCCTGCACGACTCTTAAGGCTTTTTCAAATATATTCACATAGCTACATGGGGGATCCAGGTGAGATCCCTGCTCTTGCTGAAGCTGTTATTCCTGCTAGGGAGACATACAGCCTCAAGGAAGCAAAGATGTAAACCCCACAAGAGCAAGGACAGTTTGCTGTGTTCCAGGCACTGAAATAATAGTCAGTGAATAAACAAAGTAAATGAATAAGCAAGATTATTCCAAATAGGAATAGGGTCCATCAAGTTAAGAAAGCAGGGTGTTGTCATAAAGAACTACCAGGGCAAGGTGGGGGGGCAATTTTTTGTAATGGTTTCAAAGAAGGCCTTGATGAGCTGACATATTTACTGAGATTCAATTGGCAAAAAGAAGGAATCAGCATTACAGATGGGGGATTGGCCAGAGCAGCTGAGGTTTAATGAGATGAGATCTGAGTAACTAATGGCCAGAGGCCCTTGAGAGGCCTCTAAATTTTGAGAGGAATCTAAATTTTATTATAAATACAACAAAAAACTATTGAAGGACTTTGTTACCTTTTTTCAGACCTCTCAAACTTTTTTTGAACTTTTTATTTAAATCATACAAATACCCAGATCCTTAGACTACAGTTCAGTGAATGTTTACAAAATGGATCCACCCATGCACGTAGAATTCAGTCTTGATGAGCAACTCTTTGAAAAGACACTAAGGGATTTCAGCAGAAAAAAAACCTGTTGAAAGTTAAATTTAATCCACAGGGCGCAATGTAGGATGGAATGAAGGATTTGTCCATAGAGCAAGAGATAAGAAAATCTAATAGGGAGGCTAACAACATCGTCCTCATGGGAGGTAATTAGGGACTGACTGTGGAATAAGAAAGGATTGACAAATTCAAAAACCACCAGAAGGAAAATCCCGAAGACTTGAGTTTTGACGGGGTATGGAGATTCAAGTTTTCCAGCCTGAATGACCTAGCTGGAAATTTCCACCTAGGGAGGTAAGAAAGTCAAAGTAAGAAATGTCAGTGAATAAAATGTGAGGACAGTATGAGGCTAACTGAATGTGAGCTAAAATCAAGATATTCAAGTGAACACATATTTCAGGCTGTTAGATTTCAATATGGAGGCATCAATTTAGGAAATGTCTATTGTTAGAGGGAGTAACTAATGGCCGGGAGGGAAAGGGCTCTTGAAGCACGCCACAGCAAGAAAGACAGATGAAGAGGACCAGGGCTGTCTCTTGGGGTTTTCTGATACTTCCCATCAGTTCATTTATTTACATTCTCCTTCCTGCACCATAATCCTCTCTCACCAGACATTCCAACACCATGATTCCTTCCTGCTGCTAAATAGATTTATACCGAGCATTTACTCTAACCAGTCTTGACACCAAGTCAACCTGCTATTTCATTAAATCCTGAGAACAGTCCTGCAGATCCATTTTAGGTCTTGCAGATCCATTTTACAGTGGACAAAAGTGAGACCCAGAGAGATAAATCAATTCATGGAATGTGGAGTGAGCATAGGGCGAGCTTTAAACCCACACCTCTGACTCGTGTTCAGGTGGGCACCTACTATGTGCCAAGATTTGTGAGGGATATAATGATAATGCGGCCCTACCCTTCTGGAGGCTATAATATGGTCAGAGATAAGTAGGCACATAAATAATGATGACTTAAAGTAGAGCAGGACAGCCCTCCAGGAAAGGTAGAGATAAGGCCTTCCTGTTGTCCAAAGGGCTGCGGGAATCCATGAAGGCAGGTTCCAGGCCGAGATAAGCACTGAAGCAAGTAAGGTCTTGAGAATGGGAGAGGCCTCCCTAGCTGTCTCACTGACCCTCCTTCCACAGGTATTCTGTCCAGGAATCGCAGCTGTTCGGGCAGGGGGCAAGGGATGTTGCGGTGCAGGCTGCTGTGGAAATCGCTGCAGGGTAAGACCCCAACTAAGAAGGGCACAGGGTTTGGTCTTTGAACCAGTTCTTCCAAGAGTCACACCTAGAAGCATGACCCCCTCTACATGAGCTACAAGAATTCCTCCGTGGAGGCCTTATTCTCTCAGCTCCACAAATCTGGCTTCAGTGGGTTTGGCCAAAAGGTACTAACCTCCAACAACTGCTGACTCTGAACATTACCCTAATTCCAAATCCCAGGGTTGTCAGGAAATGTATTTTCGCCAGGACTTGATTAGAGTTCGGTCATGGGGGTGCCACCGGGTGAGGGGAAACTAGGTGCGGTCTGCCCAAGAGTGGGGAAGGGGCGGCCCTACTCACCCGGCCTTCCACTCTGCATCCAGATGCTGCGCTCAGTCTTCTCCTCAGCATTTGGGATTCTTGGCGCGATCTACTGCCTCTCAGTGTCGGGAACAGCGCTCCGTATGGGACCACAATGCTTAACAGATGATGACAAATGGAAGTACCCCTTCGAAAACACTGAGTAAGGCTCAGTCTGTTTTCGCCCTGTCCACTTCCACTTCCCCTTCTCCCCTCCCACTCTCTACCTCTCCCACCAGTCTTTCCACCTGAACTGGAAAACCTGGGGGGATATGGGGGAGGGCTCTGCTTCCAGAGAGCTTCCTCCACGTGGGTCAAACCAAACCTGGCCAACCCTCCTCTGCGCATGCGCGTGGGGCAGAGCGGGCGGGCGCGGGTGAGGCCTCCGCTCACGTGATCCCGTCCCGTGCCCAGGGGCTCTTACTTGGTCAACCGTACTATGTGGAGTTGGTGCGTGAAGCCTCCCAATGTGGTCCATTGGAATGTGACGCTCTTCTCAATACTGGTGGCCGTCTCGTGCCTGGAGATCGTGCTTTGTGGCGTGCAGCTGGTGAACGCGGCCATCGGCGTCTTCTGTGGCGACTGCAGGAAGGAGGTAGGACGCCAAGAGCGGGAGTTGTGGAGGGGAGCTGCTTGCTCCTTGGCTGCGTCCTTACTTTGTCTTTTTTGCAGGACGCCCCTCATTGAGGCTGCACGGACCGCCCCCTCCTGGAAGCTCATTGCCCCCTCCCCCCCCTCCACTCTGGAATAAATTGGCTTGAGCTCTCTTCTGCTCTCACATGTGCTCTATGCGAAGAATGTCCCGAGGCCTCCAGGTACATCAGGCCTTAGGCCTTATGGGTTTGCCCGTCAACCCCCCCCCCCCCCGTTATTTTCTTAACAAAGAGTTTTTAGTGTGCGCTGGAGATACAGTGGTAAACAAGACAGGCAAGTTCTGTGCGCTCAAGGAATTTAACATTTCAGGTCACTTTTTAAAAGGAAAGTTCAATTGTTAAGTACTTTTAAAAAAAGTTGGTGAGGCCTCCCTGATGGCGCTGCGGTTGAGCGCTGGGCTGTGAAGCTGCCCGCAGCCTTTGCAGCGCCGGTTCGATCCCCGGCCACGGGCGAGGGTCCAACATGGCGCGCAGACCTCTCCTGCCGCACCCGCTGCTCCCCTGAGTAGTGTACTTTGACAGTCTGCCTGTTCTACTCTCCCCTCTGGCTCTGGTGAATTCTCTCACCCTCCCACGCTCTGACTGTACCCAATGCTTGTATAAATAAATAAATAAATCTTTCAGAAATAATAAAATTAAAAAATTAAAAACGTTGGTAAGGGGACAGATATTGACTGGTGGAGTGACATTTTAGAATAAGATAAAGAAAATCCGAGAAAGTGAACTTTGCACTGAAATCTGGTAAATGGGCTTACCATCTGGATACCTGGGTTGGGGGTGGGGGGTGGGGAGGAGAAACGTGTTGGTTCCTATCAGAGGGAGCAGCAAGGACAAAGATCCTAAAGGGGTATCCGTGTATAGAAAGCCACAGTTTGAGGTTTTGGGGTGAGGGAAGGGAGAGAAAACTGTAGCGAAGACACTTCAACTTCTTATAAGTCTAGAAAATAAAGCCTTAAGTGGTTTTTGCATTGTTACCTCCTAATTTGGTAGAAATTTGTTAATCTGAGGCCACTGGTGATTCAGAGAGGAAACAACCTGGGCTTTTTAAGGAGGCGCGCTCCATAAAGGAAGCCGGAACTTCCTTCACTTGTACGCAAAATCATGTTTTTCCAGACTATGGGTTCACGACTTTAAGTTGTCTGCGAGACCAACCTGAATTTGCTAGTTTAGGAGGAAGACAAGGAGACGCAGTTTCCCACCCCTGAAAGAACCGAGGCGAAAGTCAAGACGAGAAGCTTTAATAGCCGAAGGTGGACCAAGCGTGGGGTCAGGGAGCAGGGAGAGGTGTCAACTAGTGCAGCAGAATAAGCGCACGTCGTTAAGCGCGGTGTCGTCGCGGAGGCCTCTAGGCTGCTCGATTTTGGTCTGCAAGCCGCAAGCGCCTTTAGGGCACGGGTCACTCCACTCTCCAAAGTCTCCCCAGGTCTGGCCGGGTCCCTCCAGCTCCGTGCCGTCCGAGCAGCGGAAGCGCACATTGTTCGCTGCCGTGTTGTCTCCAGGGGTCACGGGTATCTCCACGCGGAGCGAGAAAGCCACAAGGAAACCGCCGCCAGGACACCACAGCGGCTCGCTCCACGCGCCCCACCTGCGAGGGAAGTGGAGACGCTCTGGCTCTGCTGGAGCCCCCTACCCTCCACCCACCCAATCCTTGGGTGCTACTTGACCCCCAGTGGGTTATCTCGTCACTGACTTCACTCCCCGGGAGCTAAACTGCCCCACAGCTGTGGAGCAACCTGCCTGCCAGGAAGAGGATTTGTGTAACATAGAGTATACGGCTTACCCCCACCCTAGGGGATCCTAGGTCCCTGCCCGCTACCTTCCAGATTCCGACTCCACCACGTGCGTGTTGCGCTCCGCGTTCCCCCGCGCGCAGTGCAGCCGGATCCCATTTAGCGCTGTGTCGTCACCAGGAATACCTTGGTTGGGCTCCACCTGGACCGCGAGGAAAGGCAGGGTGAGAACAAGTCGGAACACTGCCATCCTTGACTCGGTCCGCGGCATCTCCACCCGCTCCACAACCTAGTCCTGAGCCCCCACCTTGAGCGAGAACCCGCTGGCGAAGAATCCGTCAGGACACATCTCGGGCCAGGCCCAGTCGCCCCAAGGGCCCCCGTTGGTCACCTCGATGACCGACGTGTAGCCGCTTGGGCCACCTCTTGCAGATCCGCAGCATATCCACAGTAGCAGCAACAATTTAGCTCCTGCACGCGCCTCCATCCCGCAGCAGTCTGTGAGCTGGGTCCCTAACACAAGTTTATAACACCCCTGCCCCTTCGAGGGCTCCGATTACGGAAGGGCAACCTGGATTTAATGCAACCCAATACTAATCCGTTCCAGAAACCCCACAGACTCAATTCTTTGCTCAGGGAATCGGAGGCTCCCAGCGCCAGAAGAGGAGGGGCAGCTAGAGCAGAGAAAATAACCACCACCTACTGAAGTTTACTCGAGGCCAAGAATTGTGGTTAGGGCTATGCAAGCGTGTATTTAATCCTGACAACTTTAGAGGTGGGAATTGCCCTTTCTATTTTGCAGATGAGGGAACTAGGGCTTAGAAATGGCAAGCAACTTTGTCTAAAGTTTACAGTCAGCAATCCAGGAAACATTCCAACACTGTTGGGGTGGGGGGGGCGCTAGGAATGAAAGAGTTGATTCTGGGATCCTACTAGGGACAGGATTGGTCAGGTCATCCACAGGGATCACCAGGGTGTGAAAGAGACCAACGTGACAGAAAGGACAAGAATCCATTAAGTGTGGAAGTTAGGGTCTTCTTAGCTATGGGGGCCCTGACTCCTTGAGACTCTGTGGCATTCTTCCCTACCCAGAACCAAATGTAAACAGAGACAGGGACAATTGTAAGAGGTTTGGTTGACAAGGGACTGAGAACCAGAGATGCTGTTTTTTCCATTGCTTCCTGTATCCTTCCCTGGAATGTCTTTCCCACCTTGACCACCAGGTGGACTCCTAATTTGCAAAGAAAACAAAACAAAACTGGCTCAAACCTGTCAAGAGGCACCACCCCTAACTTGCCTGCCCCTCCTATACATTCCTTTTTTTTTTTAATTCAATGCATATCTATCCAGCAATAACATATTTTTATCCAGACAATATTCTAAGTGTTGTAAATAGAGGCGTAACCAAGAAAAATTAGGCCCTTGTCTTCGTCAGAGCTTACATTCCAGTGGGAGAGACAGATAAATTTTCCAATGGACTTGGAACTCTGTAAAGGCACTTTGGTCTTCTTGAGATCAGTATAGGGCTTGGCATGCGGAAGTAGTTAATAAAGGTTGGTTTGAACAACAAATGGGGAACCAATCTGGAGCTGAAAAAAATGAAACCACAAAAATGTAAAAGGAAAATCCTAATGATATAGTCAAGAGGTCATGCATCCATATCAAGACAAGGTCCCCTGGGGTTAGGATAGAGCATTTAGAAGCAAGTGTTCCTAGATCCCAGGTGCCCCACGCTTGAACTTAATGAAGATTTATGGAGCAATTGTGGTAAGCTTTTCCATTTAGTCTTTGCACATACATTATCATTTAATCCTCACTTGAGGCTTGCAAAGCACCTATTATTAGTCTCAATTTACAGTGGAGGCAACTCAAGTACACAGCTAACTTAGGGCTCACACAATTGCTCAGTGGGGGAGCTGGTTCTGACCCCAGCTTCTCTTTCCAATAACCTGGCCTTCTCTTACTACAACCTGGCCCAACCAGGAAGGAGAAATGCAGACATGTCATTCCCACCCAATCCCCCGAGTCCCCTTCATTCTGTCCCGCAGCACTGGGATGCTGCCTTCAGGGGCAAAGGGCACAGAGGAAGGGGCATTAATCAGTTAATTATTAACCCTTTGCGCTGGACACCGAGGACACCGCGAACTTCTCTCCCCTCCAGGAACCGGAGGGAAAAGGACTGGCTAGGGGCTGGTGAGGGGGCGGTGGTCCCTGCAGCAGCATGGGGGTCCCGCACCCTCCCTCCGTCCTGCGGCGCTGGTTCTGCCGTGCAATTCCTCTCGCTATCTTCGCGCTGCTGCTTCTTTATCTCAGTGCTGGGAGTCTCCGTGAGTGGCCCCTTCCCTCACCCACGCTGGTGGGAGCCCAAGGAGTCTAGACCTTTGGGACCAAAGCCCCTTGCTCGAGTTCTCACCACACCACTCACCCCTCCTCAGGTCCCTCCAGTTGCAGAACCGGGGAGCAGTACTGCCTCCCCGAGGAACTGCCATCTTTCCAGGTATGCGGGGGGGGGGGGGGGGGGGGACAGGGCTGGAACTCGGGGCTCCAAGTGGGACCCTGGAGAGGTGGGAGTGGAGCCAGGCTGAGGAACTAGTGAAGGGCAGGCACTTCTCTCCCCGCTAGCATTAGAAGCTGAAAGTACAGCAGAAGGCACACTAGCTATTGATAGATCGTAGAAACAATTTCTTTTTTTTTTTTTTAAAGATACACTTTTTTTTTCCAATTTTTTTTTAAGATTTATTTATTTATTTATTTATTTATTCATACAAGCACTGGGTACAGTCAGAAGCGCGGGAGGGTGAGAGAATTCACCAGAGTCAGAGCAGGATGCAGAACAGGCAGAAGGACCGAAGTACACTGCTGAGGGGAGCAGCGGGCGGGAGGAGAGGTCTGCGCGCCATGTGGGACCCTCCTCTGGTGGCCGGGGAGCAGCCGGGGATCGAACCGGCACTGCAGAGGCTGCGGGCAGCTTCGCAACCCAGCGCTCAACCGCTGCGCCACCGGGTAGGCCCAGAAACAATTTCTTGAGGCCCCTATTAGGTTGCTTAGCTAAGAAGACGAGGGATCCTGCTCCCTCTTTCCCCCTTATATTCCCAGGTTCAGCAACAGTCGGGTCCCCAGGATGCCCCGGGGCGGGAAAAGCCTCAGTGTCTGGGCCCCCAGGGAATGCTGGGGCGCATGATGAGGCCATTCCGTGCCAGTCTGAACCCTGAAGGGGATGTGGAGCTGTCGCAGTACTTGGCAGGATGGAGAGAGCTAATCAAGTGAGTGGTAGTCCTTCCCCCAATGCAGTCCCCACCTCCTTGTGACTCTACTGCCCTTTCAAATCGTCCCACTTTCCCACTACCAAACACACAGATTCCTAAATCCTCTCGGCTCCATCTTCACCTTCGCCACCAGCGAGGCCTTCTCCAAAGTGTCAGCCCTTGAGGCTCGGGTACACGGCCCGGACGCCTCCCACTACACATCGCTGGCGGCCATGGCGGAGTGGGAGCGGCGGGTGGGACTGCTGGAGCTGCCCGGGGTCGCCTCTCCACACCCGCCCAGGCCCTCGGGCTCACAAACGTTGCTCTTGCTGCACCGTGCTCTACGCTGGTCCCAGCTCTGCCTCCAGCGGGTGGCGACCGGGGCGCGCCGAGGCCCGGAAGCCGGCGTCCAGTGCAGCGACGCCTACGGCACGGCCCTGGCTCCGCACCACCCCTGGCTCGTGCGCCAGGCGGCGCGCGTGGCGTTCCTCGCCTTCCCGGGTCGCGCCCGCCTGCTCGAGCTGGCGTGTCCGGGAACCCGGGAGGCGGAGGCGCGGGCCGCGCTGGCGCGGGGTGCCGGCACCCTGGAAGAAGTGTACAACCGCACCCAGGGCTTGTTGGCTGCTCGCGGCCTGCTCCACCTGGCCTGAGCCAGGGCCGCCCCCGGACTCCAGGGAGCCCAGAAAGGGAGCGCCTGGGGGCGGGGCGGCTCCGCACCCGGGCCGGCCCTGGTCCCCGCCCCTTTCGTGACGTCACTGCCGTAGAGTCCCGCCCCGGCGCGAGCCCGGGTTTGAGACCCTCTCTCCACCCGCTGTTTTCATGAGGGGAGCTGTGAGGAATAAGGAGTGATTTTTTGGTCGTCGTCGACTTAGGCCGTTTCGCGAGATGACGGCAAGCGTTGGAGGGAAACAAAAAAAATGAATGTAGGAACATGTGTCATCCCTGTTCCTGGCAGCAAAGAGACTCACGCTTCCCCCGGCATCTCTCAGCCGCTCCTGTGGCTTCCTCTGCCGACTACATGCGAGTCTCCAGCCCAAACTTAAGCTCCAGTCCCCATAAAGCCAACTCTTTCTTGGACACCGCCGCAGACATCGGAAATATAACACATCCAGGGCCTCCCTGGTGGCGCAAGGGGTTAAGCACACTATGAAGCAATCTGCAGCCTCTGCAGTTCTATCCCCGGGCCGGCCAGGCAGCTACCCACATGGCGCAGCAGACCTCTCCTGACTCGCCTGCTGCTCCCCTCAGCAATGTACTTCAGTTAATCTGCCTGTTCTGTTCCCCACTCTGTCTCTGGTGAATCCTCGCACCACCACCCACTCTCTGCCCCACCCCGCATCTCTGGCCTGTACCCCAACTCTTGTATGCATAAATAAATAAATATTTTTTTAAAAAATAGAAAGCATAGACGTAAATCTTTGTGGTCTGGGATCAGGCATGATTTCCTGAATGACACTAAAATGGCTTCTTGAATATGACACAATCCAAGGAAAAACAGATAAATTAGATTCAATCAAAATTTAAAACTTTTTTGCTTGAAAGTAAAAAATGAAGTGAGAAAAACAATCCAGATAATGGGAGAAAATACTTGCAAATCACACCTCTGATAAAAGTCTAGTATCTAGAACCTAAAAAAAAATTATTATTATAATTCAACAAAAGAAAACCCAGTTTCAAAATGGGCAAAAGACTTGAATAAATATTTCTCCAAAGCAGATACACTAACAGTCATTAAGTATATCTATTTGTACATCAAATTAGTACATTAAATTTTTGCTCATTATTACTAATCATTAGGAAAATGCAAATCAAAACCACCGAATATCACTTCATATTCATTAGGATGACTAAAATAAAAAAGATGCACAGTAACAATTAATGAGGCTGTGGAGAAACTGGAATCCTCATACAAGCCTGGTGGGTATGTTAAATGCGACAGCTGCTGTGCAAACAGTTTTCAATTCCTCAAAATGTTAAATACAGAATTTCTGTATGACCCAGTAATCGCGTTCCCAGTATACACTCCCACGTATACAACTAAGAGAAATGAAAACAAAGTTTACACACGCTAATTCAGAGACTGTCGAGTTTATCTTCAAGGTTCCCTAAATTGCAACTCCGATCAAATATATCAGTCCTGCATAGTCCGACAGGAAACGTAGTCCTTGAAGACTTGCTTTTTTGGGTTGTTGACTTACTGATCTTACCTGCCTCGCTTCCATAAAGCCTTCCCGTCGCAAAGGATCCCTCCCACATTTTTCCTTCTGCCGTCAACCACGCCGTAGCACGACTAAAGAGAGTGACGGCGCACTTTACGACAATTGCTTTGCGGCAGCTGCGGCGGAGGAAGATGGCGGCCACCTTAGTAGCTGCTCGAGGAGCGGGGCCGGCACCAGCCTGGGGGCCGGAGGCCTTTTCCCCGGACTGGGAAAACCAGGAAGTCTCCACAGGGGTGAGGAAGGACTAAAGGTTCGGGAAATGTGCCGTCGGCTTGAGGCATTGGAAGGATGTGGCCTGAGTGGGCTTGGAGAACTGGCGGGGTGGGGGAGTGGGTGGTCGGGGCTGTGCTCCAGGCAGGGAGAGAGGTATCCTGGGGATGCTCAAGTGGTGCGATACTTTGGTATTGGGAGTCGGGAGGTAGGCTGAAGCGAGCACGTCTGGATTCTTGCGGGAGGAGGACTTAATGGGCAGGATGGACTGTTGGGGATTTGCAGATCGGATTCTGGTATCCTGCTGGGCGTTGAGGCCCTCATGACATTTGATAATGGTTCGTTGGTGCACGACTTTCGCATTTTAGGGATAGAGGGATCATTGATGTTTGTGTATGTTGGGAAATGTGGGAAGTCCCAGACTCCCCCCTCTCTTCTGTTTCTTAGACCACTATAATGGCCGTGCAGTTTGACGGGGGCGTGGTTCTAGGAGCCGACTCCAGAACAACCACTGGGTGAGCCAGAACAGATACGTGAAAGGTTTTCCCATCTTTCTCTTCCTTTCTCACCTGCCAGCCCTTCCTTACTCTCCACGGACCGCTTTGAGAAGGTGATTTCTCCCCTCCCTAGAGATAAGGATTTGCTGCAATTGCTAGCACTTCCCAGTCTCTAACCCTTTTTCTTGGAAGTTTGTTCCCCAGCCTCCTTTAGTGTGGATATGAACTGATACAAAATGCTGGCATTCCTATTCTTGAATCATGAGAAAGTGGATAGTTATGGGATGGGAGTGGGGGACAGATAGGGTGCTTTCCTCACTATTCTGTCATTCTGCAGGTCCTACATTGCCAATCGAGTGACTGACAAGCTGACCCCTATTCATGACCGTATTTTCTGCTGCCGCTCAGGCTCAGCAGCTGATACCCAGGCAGTAGCTGATGCAGTCACCTATCAGCTTGGTTTCCACAGGTGCTTGTGGGCAGGGGAGAAGCAAATATCAAGGGAATTGGGACCTGAGGAGCTAAATTACCTGACCACCTCATTCTAACACTGCCTTCCCCTTCACTCCCCTCATTCTTTAGCATTGAGCTGAATGAGCCTCCTCTGGTGCACACAGCAGCTAGCCTCTTTAAGGAGATGTGTTACCGATACCGGGAAGACTTGATGGCAGGAATCATCATTGCGGGCTGGGACCCCCAAGAAGGAGGGCAGGTCTGCTATACCTCAACCCCTATCCCCAGAGCACTGGAGCTGAGTCTTTGATCTTCTCCCCATCTCAGCCATTTTCTTTTTCTTTTATGTAGTCTTTACCTTACTCTTACTGTTAACTCTACCAGACCCATTTCCACAATGGATGATTGAATATACATGTGTTGCGTGGAAGGTACAACTGATGACTCTCTTCTTCCATCTTGCAGGTATACTCAGTACCCATGGGGGGCATGATGGTAAGGCAGTCTTTTGCCATTGGGGGCTCCGGGAGCTCCTATATCTATGGCTATGTCGATGCTACTTACCGGGAAGGTATGACCAAGGAAGAGTGTCTGCAATTCACTGCCAATGGTGAGAACTCAGGCTTCTGGGCCTGTGCACTTCAACTCCCAGACCCAAGCCAGGCCAACACTCTTTGTATCTCACACTGATTCCAGCATCTGACTCTGACCTCAACTTTATTCTTTATCCACAGCTCTTGCTTTGGCCATGGAGCGGGACGGCTCCAGTGGAGGTGTGATCCGCCTGGCAGCCATTGCAGAGTCAGGGGTAGAGCGGCAAGTACTTTTAGGAGACCAGATCCCCAAATTCACAATTGCCACTTTACCACCTCCCTGAATCCTGGTATTCTAGGATACAATAAGAGACACCCCAGACAGACCCAAAATTCAAATAAACATTTTGTCAAAGAGAAGCTGTGTACTTCAGAGTTTTTTTCTTGACCTCAAGCCTAAACTTCTTTGACCCACACCTATTTGCTCTGAGCTCCAAGGGAGTGGGAGAGAAGCCTTTGCCGAGATAGTGTGATAGCTTTCAAATCTTTCTCCTGACAACATTCCCCATGCACTTCCTTTCTTCTACTACATGTCCAACACCTTGTGACACCAGAGTGTGGTTGTTATGGGAACTACCAACAACAACCCATTCCCCTCCCTGTGTGAGCCTCAGGAATCCTCACTGAGACTAGGGTCACCTCCCTTCAGTCTGCCTTCTACCTGTTATGTGTGGCTATTGCCCTAAGTCTCCAAGGACCATTCTTTCAGACTCATGGCTCCCCACTCATGGTTTTCTTTTTAATTTTACTGATTTACAAAATGAAATTTTAGGGGTGTATCTTTACTTCCATATGTGTATAAGTCTCCCCCACGCACAACTAAAGTTCTAGTGCCCTTCCTGCTATCAGGTTGATACCTGATAGCCTTCCTTCTCGCTCCCCCTTCCCTCCTCTGGTCATCACTATATTTTTCAGAGTAAGATTTGTTTTGTGATTTGTTTGTTTGCTTTGATTATATTATACATATGAGAGAAATTATTCTTATTTCTGCTTAGTATAATCAAGTTCCATCCATGTTGTCACAGAAGGCAAGATTTTTTATTTTATTTTTTAAAGATATATTCACTTACACATACAAGAACTGGTGTACAGGCCAGAAGTGTGGGGGGTGAGAGGATCCACCAGAGACAAGCAGATTGGGGAACAGAAAGGCAGATCAACTGAAATAGACTGCTGAGGGGAGCAGCAGGCAAGACAGGAGAGGGCTGCTGCACCATGTGGGTATTTCCCTGGCCAGGGATCGAATTTGTGCTGCAGAGGCTGCAGATAGCTTCACAGTGCTGCGACATAACCCCTTCTGCCACCAGGGAGGCCCTCTTTTTTTTCTTTTTTAAAAGCTGAGGAATAAGTAGTCTACTGAGTGTGTGTGTGTGTCTACCTCAACTTTATGCAGTCATCCATCAATGGATATATTCACTTAGCTATGTGAATAATGCTGCTATGAGTATAAGGGTGTATAATTAAAAATTGTTTTCATATTCTTGGTGTAAATACCCAGGAGAGTTATTGATGGGTTATATGATATTTCCATTTTTAGATATTTAAGGAATCCTCATTCCTTTTTCCATAGAGGTTACCCCAATTTACATTCTGACCAACAGTGAAGTAAAATTTCTTTTTTGCTACACCCTCACCAGTACCTATTGTTTCTAATCTTTTTCATACATTCCTCACAAGTGTGAGATGATACTTCATTGTGGTTTTGATTTGCATTTCTCTGATAATAAGCAAATTTGAGCTTTTTTTTTAAAAATTATTTATTTATTTATACAAGCACTGGGTACAGTCAGAAGCGTGGGAGGGTGAGAGAATTCACCAGAGTCAAGTGGGGAACAGAACAGGCAGACTGAGGAAATACACTGCTGAGGGGAGCAGCGGGCGTGGCCGGAGACGTCTGTCGCGCCATGTGGGACCCTCGCCAGTGGCTGGGGATTGAACCGGCGCTGCAGAGGCTGTGGGCAGCTTCGCAGCCCAGTGCTCAACCGCTGCACCACCAGGGGAGGCCCAAATTTGAGCTTTTTTTATGTACCTTTTAGCCATCTGTATATCTTTTTCATCTCATCTTGTCAGGGACAACTGTGACTTCCATGGCTTTTGGGAGAAAGTTGGACATTTGTTTGCAAAAGAGTTTAAGATCCTTGTTGAGTGGGAGAGGGCAGCTGTTGCATGTACTGTAGGCCAGATCGAGAAGTCACCATTCCCCTGGGGTAAGTCTTTAGCCCTGTGGATGGGAGCCTGAGAGCAGACTTCAGTGTCTCTGGTGGGAAGGTCCTGGGTTGAGAAGAGCAAAGAGGTATCTCTCCTCCCAAACATATGTACCTCAAACTTAAAATATCCAAAGCAGAACTTTTGATTTTCCTGTAAAACTTGCTCTCCCTGTCCTCCCTATCTCCAGGCATCTCTGATTTCTCTGTCCCTTCAACTCCACATTCAATCTAACTTATTGTTCCTGAAAACTCTACAGAAATTTATCTAGAATCCTGCTTCTTGTCTTCTCCACACCCACTGACTTGATGCAAGCCACCATGTCCTCTTGCCTGGAGGACGCAACAACCCCTGGTGGTGCAGGCGGTTGAGTTCAGCACTGTGAAGCTTCCGCAGCCTCTGCAGCACAAGCTCAATCCAGCCCGCCAGGGAGAAACCCAAATGGCCAGCAGACCTCTCCTGTCTCACCCGCCGCTTCCTTCAGCAATGTATTTCAGTTGGTCTGCCTGTTCTGTTCCCCCACTCTCTCTATGGTGAATCCTCTCACCCTCCCGCACATCTGGCCTGTACCCCCGGTTCTTATATAAAAATAAATATTTTTTAAAAAAAAGAATTGGGGTACAGGCCAGAGGTTTGGGGGGGTGAGAGGATTCACCAGAGACAGAGAGGGGAGCACAACAGGCAGACTGACTGAAATACACTGCTGAGAGGAGCAGTGGGCAAGACAGGAGAGGTCTGCCACGCCATGTGGGTCACCTCCCTGGCTGGGGATTGAAATCGTGCTGTAGTGGCTGCTGATAGCTTCATAGTGCTGTGACTCAATCCCTTGTGCCACCAGGGAGGCCCTTTTGTGACTTTTTTAGAGAAACTTTAAGAGCAGTTTTGTTTTTTGTTTTTTGTGGTTTTTTTACATAGAAGAACTGGGATACAGGCCAGAAGTGCAGGGGGAGTGAGAGGATTTACCAGAGACAGAGTGGGGAGCAGAACCAGTGGATTGACTGAAAAACACTGTTGAGGGGAGCAGTGGGTAAGACAGGAGAGGTCTGCTGAGCCATGTGGGTTAGCTCCCTTGGCTGGGGATAGCACTGAGACTTAACCCCTAGGCGGCCAGGGAGGTCCTAAGAGCAATTTTAAGTTCACAATAAAATTAAGTGGAAGATAAGAGGTGTCCTCTATGCTCCCTGCCCACACATATGCACAGATTCCCATATTATCAACAGCCTGCACCAACGTGATACCTTTATCACAACCAGAGAACTTGAACCTATTTTGGCACACCATTCTCCAATTTTCACAGTTACTCCTTGTTCAGATCTCAGCTCAAATGTCACCTCATCGGATAGTCCTTTCCTGACCACCTGAAATTTAAGAAACGGCATCCTTCCCCACCCTGACCTCATTTTTCCCTCGTTTAATTTTACTTTCTTCATAGCAACACTTAGCACTCTCTGGTATTGTGCTTATTTGTTTATTATCTACCTCCTCCTACTGGAAAATGAGAGCAGGGAGAGAGCTCTTTCTGCTTGGTTCACAGATAAACCCTAGGTGCCAGGCAGGGCGTGGCCACTGGAAATGTATTGACTACATGTGCTCTCTAGCCCCCTCTGCTGTCCTGCCTAGCCCCTGGCCTCTCAAAACTGCTCTCAGCACACTCAACTCTGAAGGTGGATTTCAGCAGTCTCACCTCCTTCTAGCCAATCTGTGCTCTGCATTAGGTCAGCTGGCTCATAGTCAGCACTCCTGTCCCCACTCCCACCTGAGTTCCATGACCCTGCCCTAGTGCCCTCACTCCTACCTTCTACCCCACACCCCCCCCCATGCAACACACACACCTGCCAACTCTGAATCGATTTAATGAGAAAGTCATGAGGGATTTGGGAGAGCAGGACACTGGGGTCACTAAGAAGGGGGGGGAGGAAATTTGCCAAAGTTTCCTGGAAGTTCAGCCCTGGTTGTTCCTTTCAAATGGTGGAGTCATTGGCTGATGCTATGTCATGCAGCTGGTGGCGGAAGGAGAGTCGAGCTTTTCTGCTGAAGTAGGCACCAGTCTCTAAGGAGGATATCCCTCCTTCAGCCACAGTGGGGGATGTAGGTGGCCTGGGATCTGGATCTGGAGGGGCAGCTGGATCCAGACCTACAAGGAAGATTGGAGGAGACAGAGGGAGCTGTGGGTCAGGGCATCCCAGTGTTCCCAACTCACATTTGCCACCCCTCTCCCACCAGTGAGTGGAAAGAGGCCAGGGAAGAAGCCTGGGGACTGGGGTGTGGGGATGAGTGTCGATGGCACCAGCTGGGATTGAAAGATATGTTGAGAGAGCAGGGCTGACCTCAGGGGCACTCCATCTGTGCAGGTGCACAGGACTCCACACTCATACTTGTAACGCTCTGCTGTCACTATCTTGAAATTCTTAATAATTTTTGAACAAGAGAGTCCCACTTCTTCATTTTGCAATGAGCCCTGAAAGTATTTCCCCAGACTGGTGGGGGAAGTGATGGACCCATCTCCCACCCAGGGAGACAGATTATCTTTTTCCTTTCACTATTTTGAGTATATACCTTTCTTCCCAATGCAGTTTGTCTGTCTGGCCGCCCCCACTTTTTCCTCATTTGCCCCCCATACCTGCTCTTCTTCCAGTCCCCCGCTGTCTCCGGCACCCACACCATGGAAAACACCATGCCCCCTTCAGACCCATGTCAACAGTGGAGGAGACCAGGATGCTGCAAATGACCAGGAGGGCCCCTGGAGGAGGGGTGTGGTTTCCAAGCCCCTCCACTGTGGGCAAAACTACCACTTAGCCTCAGACCGCCTGGTGATTATAGGCGCCAGGGGATGGAAGGGGAAGAAGAGGGAGGAGGGGAGAGGTGGAAGGGATACCACATTCAAACACCTATCCCTTTGTGGCCCCTCAATTTTGGGGTTCTCTCTGAGCCCCATGGACAAGTGGGAGAAGACTGGGAAGAGTGGCAGAGGTCCTGGGACAGACAGATGCAGTGAAAATCATTATAGCAATACTGGACAACTCAGTGCCAGGTTGGACACTGCTGGAGATTCATTCAGTTTTTTTTTTAGAACAGAAATTTTAGTTGCAATTAATTATGGCATGCCACATAGATGCTAGGGACTTTTCCATGTTATCTCATTTAATCATGTCAGTGATCTTTTGAGTTAAGTGTTATTATCATTCAATTTTATAAGTGAGGAATCAGAGGAATTGAGATATGAGGTTACTTGCCCAAGGTCATACAGACAGTTATCAGCAGACCAGGAACTCTCCACCATCAGTCTGACCCAAGTCCACTCTGTTAGCCCTCACACTCAGCTTCCCAAACACATCCTTGACCAGGAATGGGGCTTGGAGTCCAGGCTCGGAACTTCAGGTCCAGAACAACCTAGCCGAACACTAAAAGTGCCCTGGAGTAAAGCTGTGCCAATGCTGTATCATTATCCCCTAAGGGTGCCATGACAAGGGAAAGGCTGGGAAGCATTGCTGACTATACTATACAGCTTGACTGAGATGTATTTGTTTTTTTAATTCACTTTATTGAAGTTGAAATTTACTTACAGTCTAATGCCTACATCTTAGTGCACAACTCCATGAGTTTTGACAAGTATATACATGATGTAATCAGCACCCCAGTTAAGCCATAGGACATTTCCAACTCTTGACTTCCTTTGTGTACCCCTTTACGATAGTTCCCCACCTCCTGCCACAGGCAAGTGCTGATCTGATTTCCATCATTAGAGACTGGTTTTGCCTGCTTTGGACTCTATATAAATAGAATCATATATTACTCTCTTTTGTCTGATGTCTTTCACTATAATGGCTTTAAAATTCACCCATGCTGTATGTATTTATAGTTTACTGGTTTTGTCTTTTATAAGTACAATAGATTTACTGAGATATAATTCACATATCATACAATCTACCCTTTAAGTATAAAATTCAGTGGCTTTTACTATATATTCACAACAATGTATAACCATCACAACTAATTTTACATTTCAGTCATCCTCAAAATAAACTCTATACCCATTAGCAGTTACTCCCCCTGCCCTCCTGTCCTCCTCTCCAATTACTGGCAACCACCAATCTACTTTCTGTCTCTATGCACATTTCATATAAATGGAATCATATAATACGTGGGTATTTGTGTCTGGCTTCTTTCACTTACTTAGTATAATGTTTTCAAGGTTCATGTTGCAGCATGATCAGTATTTCATTCCTTTTTATGGCTGAATAATAGTCTATTGTAAGGATACACCACATATTTTTATTCGTTCATGGATATTAAGGTTGATCTACTTTTTGGGCTCTTTGAATACTATTACAATGGACATTCATGAACACATTTTTTTGTGGATACATATATTTTCATTTCTCTTGGTTACATACCTAGGAATGGAATTGCTGGTGATAAAGTTACTCTACACTTAACGTTTTGAAGAGTTGTTTTCCAAGGTGGTATAACATTTTACTTTTTTTTAAAGATTTATTTACTTATGCATACAAGAGCTGGGGCACAGGCCAGAGACGCAGGGAGGGGGGGTGAGAGGATTCGCCAGAGACAGAGTGGGGAGCAGAACAGGCAGACTGACTGAAACACACTGCTGAGGGGAGCAGTGGCCGAGACAGGAGAGGTGTGCTGCGCCATGTGGGTTGCTCCCTGGCCAGCTGGGGGATAAAACTGCAGTGGCTGTGGTATGCTTCATAGTGCGGTGCTTAGCCCCTTGTGCCAGCAGGGAGGCCCCTCATTTTACGCTTTTATTACTAATGATTTATGTACCAACTATTTAAAATAAAAAACTTCAGTTTTCAAGAGGCACCATTATTTTAAAAATATATGTCAAATTCTGGGAGAAAATAATTTGCAGTAGACTCCTTTCCTCCACCATGGGGTTTTGTGTGCTTGCTTCTTCCTGGCCATTTCTTCTCACAAGACTTTTAGGATCAAGCAATTCCTGGTAAGAAACAAAAATAGAATCATCTCATTCCCAAATGAATTCAGATGAAAACTGGTAATAAAATCAGGTATAATTCCAAGAAGAGACCAAGCTGGGTCCCTAAGGAATCACACATAAGGTTGCACACATGTTTATACTGCATCAAGCTCAGTAGCATCTACCATATCACACTGAAAACATCACTGCTTTGGTGACATGTTTTCTCTTGGTACCTGTACCTCTACCTGGCTCGGTAATAAATATGTGAGTTCTTTGGGGGAAAAAAAATTGCAATATACATAGCTGATCAAAGATTTGCATTCAAAATATATAAAGAACTACTAAAATTTGACAATAAGACAAACAACATGATTATTTTTTCATTAGCAAAACACTAAGTCACTTTACAAAAGAAGATATAGAAATGGTCAATGAACACGTGAAACACATCAATACCATAAATCACCAGAGAAATGCAAATAAAAGCCACAATAAAGTGACTATTTTACAATTACTAGAATGGCTACTCTAAAAAAAAAAAATTGTTAACGTCAAATGTCGACGATGCTGTGGAACATCTAGACCTACACCATACACTGATTTTGGAAATACAAAATGGAACAATATCAGAAAACAGTTCGACAGTTCCCTATAAAGTTAATATGCACTTGGGCCTCCCCGGTGGCGCATCGGTTGAGAGTTGTGTTGCGAAGCTGCCCACAGCCTCTGCAGCACCAGTTCGATTCCCGACCGCCGGGCGAGGGTCCCACATGGCGCGCAGACCTCTCCTACCGCCCGCTGCTCCTCTCAGCAGTGTACTTCGGTCCTTCTGCCTGCTCTGCTCCCCGCTCTGGCTCTGGTGAATTCTCTCACCCTCCCGCGCTTCTGACTGTACCCAGTGCTTGTATAAATAAATAAATAAATCTTTAAAAAAAAAAGAATATTTCTTTCCTATTAAAAAAAGTTAATATGCACTTCTTATATGATCCACTCCTAGGTATTCACCCAAGCAAAATGAAAACATATATCCACACAAAGATATAGGAAAGTTCACAGGAGCTTTATTCACAACAAACAAAAACTATAAACAACCCGAAGGTCCATCCAACGAAGAGATAAAGAAATCTGCTTTTTAAAAAAAAAAAAAAAAGATTTATTTATTTATTTATTTATTTATTTATTTATTTATTTATTTATACAAGCCCTGGGTACAGTCAGAAGCGCGGGAGGGTGAGAGAATTCACCAGAGCCAGAGCGGGGAGCAGAACAGGTAGACTGACGAAATACACTGCTGAGGGGAGCAGCGGGTGCGGCAGAAGAGATCTGTCGCGCCATGTGGGACCCTCGCTGGTGGCCGGGAATCGAACCGGCGCTACAGAAGCTGCAGGCAGCTTCGCAGCCCAGCGCTCAACCGCTGCGCCACCAGGGGAGGCCCGAAATCTGCTTTTCTTTAAAAAAAAAAAAAAAGGGGGGGGTGTATATTTTGTCTTTTAGAACCTGAAATGCTCCCTGTTTGCTTAGGCTGCAAGTTCCAGGCGCGCACAGCCCGAGACGGTCTTGCTCACTACTGCAAACTCGCGTCTGACAGCGAGCAAATACGCAGTAAATGGTGAATGAATGAAAGAATGTAAACTTGCGCACACTGATGAATGTGTGGCCACCATTGCTCAGGGCTTTTACTCCCTCAGCCCTTCCCTTGACAGACGCTAGGCCAGGGCCAATGCAGTTCGCAGCCGGCCAGGAAAGGGGACACCAGCAGGTCCCTGGCGCAGAGGCGTGTCCCGCCAGGGGGACCGGGCAGCGCCGGCCGGAGATGGGCGGGGGCCCGCGCCCCAGCAGGGGACCGTGCGCAGGGTCTAGCGTCCGCAGGGCAAACTGGAACCGACGGTGCGGCATAGACGGACAGACCCGCGGGGAGCTCCAGCCAGACGTAGGGCAGGGCCCTCCCCTTCCCGCAGGCCAAGGGGTGCGCGCTGGGCGGCGGGGCGGGCCGAGGGCGGCGGGGGCGGGACAGGGCGGACGAGAATCCCGTGGAGATGAGGCTGGGGGGCCGTCCCGCTCGCAAGGGCAGGCCCTGACTGCGTGCCCCGCCCCGGCTCGGGCGTGGGCTCCCACTCCGGTTCTGCTCAGGTCCATCGGCTTGCGAGCCCGCAGCGGCGCCGGCTCCGGCCGCCCGGGTGAGGAGATAGGGGAGGGGGCCCCGCGGAGGTCCCGGGCCCAGGAAATCGGGCGGGGACCGGAGCGCGCCCGGGCTGCGGAGCCTCCTGACCCCGCCGCACGCTCAGATTTCGGGTTTCCCTCGCGGGTGGGACGCGCGTAACTTCCTCAATCCCGCCTGGAACCCTTTCCCCGCCGGCCCGGCTTGGCCCGACCCCGGCTGCTCCAGGCCACTTGCGACACCCCTAGGCCCATTCCGCGACTAGTTCTGCCCCAGTTCGGGGTCATCCGGGCATGTCTGGGTGTTCCTCGGCGCTCTGGTTACGGGCCGGGAGGCGGGGCTGAGGGATTTTGGATGAAGGACCAAAGCTGGAGATGGAGGTTAGAGGCAGTGGGCAGTGGGGTGGGCTGGAGGGTTGTCTGTGTCTGGTGGGGTTTTGCAGAGGACTTGGGAATCAGCGCAAGGGAGGTGGGTGGGGAAGTGAGGGACCTATGGGAGGTGGAGTTGTTGGGGTGGGGTAGGGGAAGAAAAATTTGCAAGGTAGATCACCTCCCTGAGTCCTCCCCATATTCCTAGGATGATGGCAACCCCTGGGAGCCTCTTCCCCTCTGGGGACGACCTGGATTCCAGTCAGTTACACATGGAGCCCGATGAGGTGGACACTCTGAGGGAGGGAGAGGACCCAGGTACACAGGGAGGACAGTCCTCAGGGAGAGGAAGATGAGGGGTCTGAGACCTCCTGGAGAGATCTAACCTCTTCCACTTTCTCTCTTCCCAGCTGACCGGATGCACCCGTTCCTGGCTATCTACAGCCTTCAGCCTCTAAAAATGCACCCCTTGGTGTTTGCCCCTGGGGTCCCTGTCACAGCCCAGGTGGTGGGCACTGAGAGATATACCAGTGGATCCAAGGTGGTTGGGCTGGCACACCACCAGGGAGGGAGAGCTGGCCAGAGGGGGGTGGGGGTTGGAGCCCAGGAGACATCCATTCAGTTCCTCACACCCCCAGGTAGGAACGTGCACGCTGTATTCTGTCCGCTTGACTCACGGGGACTTTACCTGGACAACCAAGAAGAAGTTCCGTCATTTTCAGGAGTTGCACCGGGACCTTCTAAGACACAAAGTCTTGATGAGTCTGCTCCCTTTGGCTCGGTGAGGGAGAACACTGCTTCCTGTGAAAGGAGCTTGCCCTCGCCCTGCGGCAGCATGGGCCCAGCCACCAAGGCTGCTTTCTGCCTGTCTCTCTCTCTCGGGTCACAACCTTTCCTCCCTTGGGTACATTCCTTCCCCAGCTCTGACCACTGGGCCCCCTCCCTTAACCTGGTTACCGGGAAATATTCCCAGCTCAGCTCTCCCTGTCCATGGTTCTATGCCAATATTTTAACTGGGCTGGATGCCCAAAATGCCCTTGGCAGCCTCCCCCTTTCTTGTCTCCATTCTTGGGGTGGGAGGACTGCCTTCTGCCAGCCTTTGGGACTCCTCCCTGTCTCCAGGTTCCCATCTCCAGTGCTTCAGAAACCCAGGCAGCCGGCCTCCCAGCTCTTACTTCCCCCTCACCCCATCCCTTCCACAGCTTTGCTGTTGCCTATTCTCCAGACCGGGAGGCAGCCAACAGAGAGATCCCCTCTCTTCCGAGAGCAGGTCCTGAGAGCTCCACCAGACATGCATCCAGCAAACAGGTACGACCAGACTCCAGGTTCTCTGGGAAGGCATCTGGTGTGCAAATGACTCTGGTCCCATCTCTCTGTCTCCCATCCCTATTTCAGAAATACCTGGAGAATTACCTCAATCGTCTCCTGACAATGTCTTTCTACCGAAACTATCATGCCATGGTAAGGTCCTGAATGCCTGTTTGTTTTTGTTTTTGTTTTGAGGTGGAGCATAATTAGACCCCCCAGGGTACAGAGGACATGGGTTAGTAGGATCTGAGAAGCTTTAAGCTAGAGCCTTCCTCTGAGTTTTTGTCTCCCTTTTGCAGACAGAGTTCCTGGAAGTCAGTCAGCTGTCCTTTATCCCAGACCTCGGCTCCAAAGGATTGTAAGTGTCTGACGCCCCTTACCTGGGCGCCTGCAGACATCAGGATCTCTCCTTGTCTGAGAATGGGGAAAGCAGTGCAGGCTGGGATAGACATCTAGATTCTCATCCAGCATCTGTTCCTGGTTTGCCCCACAGGGAGGGGGTGATCCGGAAGCGCTCAGGTGGACACCATGTTCCTGGACTAACCTGCTGCGGCAGGGACCAAGTTTGTTATCGCTGGTCCAAGAGGTGAGGCTCGGAGTAGAGCCACAGTCAGGTAATGGGTGTAGGTGAAGAGGGAGATCCCCAAGCCGGGGAGAACAGACGAAGCCCTTCCACTCCAGGTGGCTGGTGGTGAAGGAGTCCTTCTTGTTGTACATGCGCCTGGAGACCGGTGCCATCTCATTTGTTCAGCTTTTCGACCCTGGCTTTGATGTACAGGTGGGGAAAAAGAGCACAGAGGCCCGGTATGGGGTCCGAATTGATACCTCCCACAGGTAAGTCCCCCTGGCGTAGACAGACACCTAGTGAGTGAAGAATAAAGGGCGCTTTTGGGAAGTTGAGTGGAAAAGACCATGGGAAAAAGGCAGGCATTTCCACCTCCCTGGATCTGGTAATGATTTGGAACCAAATGCTTGGGACTGCTCTTGGAGTCTGGGCCCAGAAAAATGGGGTTGAGTATAAACTTGGGGGAGCGACTCTTGATGTAAGGAAAAAAAATGCTCTCCATTCATTAAGTAAGTCAATAAACCAAGAGCCTGGCACAATCCTAGGTGCCAGGGCTCCAGCTGTGCATAAGGTAGCTATATCCCCATGTCTCTATGGAGTTTGTGCAATCAGGGACTGAAGGAGGAAGTGGGAAAGAAGTGATAGCTAAAGGGGAGTTGTTTCTGGGCAAGGCCAGAAGTCTGGAGGGTGAGGTTTATGGTCCATCTCATTGTTCCTGTCCAGGTCCCTGATTATCAAGTGCAGCAGCTACCGGCAGGCACGGTGGTGGGGCCAGGAGATCACTGAACTGGCCCAGAGCTCAGGCAGAGACTTCTTACAGCTACACCAGCATGACAGCTATGCACCACCCCGGCCTGGGACATTGGCTCGGTGGTGAGATGCGCATCCCTTCTAAGCTTGACTCTGACCCTCTCGACCCCTATGTGTTATCTGAGTTCTTGATCCTGCTTTATCTCCTCTGACTACTTCTGACCACAGTGAGCTACCCACTGGACTCCTCAGATCTCTCTGGCTCCCTCACCTCTTTAACTGCAGTGAGTCCCTTCTGAACTTTCTAACCCCAAAACTCGGCAATCTCCTCTGACCCTGACTTCTCTGACTCCCTGTCTCCTTGGTAACCCTTCTTACTACACTGACCCTCTCTGTTCTCTGTGATTTTCTCAAATCTCTCTGATTTATTCATTCATTTAATAAACATCTTCTAAGCACCTACTAGTGTCAGGCTCAGTGGCCGGTGTAAGCAGTCCAGTAGGTGATTCAATTATGAAACCATGGGCGCTTGCCCATGATGGTAGATACAGGCAGTAAGCGTAGAGTAAGCACCCAAATTGGGGCGATGTCAGGACCAGCTTCCAGCAGGCAGTAACCCTAAGGTTTACCTTAGCAAGATAAAGAAAATGGAGAAGGGCAGTCTGTACCAAGAAGGTAGAAATAGCCTGACATGTTTGGGAGCCACGAGGACTGATTGTTGTTGCAGCGTGAGGAGGAGCAGACTCCTGGGAGTCAGCAGGGCTGATTGGTGCCACAGTGCTAAGCTGAGGAGACTGAACTTTATCATAGGCAGAGAGGAGTCATGCATGGAATTATTTCCTTGGAGGTGGTATTGAGGTGATGTTTGTGTTAACATAAGAACTAATAACAGCTGCTCTGTTTGCCGCACTTACTGTGTGCAAGGACTGGTCTCAGTGATGTGCATGTGTTCATGTATAGAATACTCACATTACCCCTCTGGGACAGGTACACTTGTAGCTCCACTTTACAGATGAGAAAGCAGCTGAGACAAGGGGAAATTAGGGCGCTTGCTCAAGTTCACACACCTTCTAAACAGTGGAAACAGGATTCCAATTCAGGCATTCTGGATCAAGACCCTGCTCTTGACCACCATACTAGACGGTTAGGTGTTAAAAAGGCAAACGACACAGAAATACAGTAAGTACAATATTAAAGTTTCCACTCACTGCACAACCCTTCACCCCCCAGCCCTTCCATCTCCCTATATGCCTTCCCATAATCCCATTTCTTTCCCCAGAAGTAACCCTGGCAACAGTTTGATAGGTCTCCTCCCAGATCTTTTCCTGAATATTTTCATATGCTTATGCATAGATGTTACTTTTTTTAATGTAAATGAGGTCATGTATTTTCTTCTGTGACTTATTTTTCACTTAACACACACATTAGAGAATGGAATCTTTGCCTAAGCATCCAGTAGGATGTATTCCTAGAAATAGACTTACTTTGTGCCTTTATGGTATTAAGGGGTATGTGTGTTTTATATTTCCATATATACTGCAAAATTGTCTTATGTAAATTACCATAGTGTACGAGAATACCGACTTTCTTATATGCTAATATTGAATGTTACTGGTGATTTTAATTTTTGCCAGTCAGGTAAATTTTAAAAATGTTATTTCATTTTATATCAATTTCCTTCTTTACTAGTGAAATCGAACATCTTTTCCTACAATTGACCACTTTTATTTCCTCTGCAAACTGTTAGTTGTTCTTATTCTATGCTTATTTTCATTTGACTTATATGTCTTTTTCTTATGATTTGTGGAAGCTTTATAAATGATATACTAATCCTCCCAACCTCTAGTCATTTTCTTTAGTTCATTGTGTGTTTTGTAATTTTTGACTTTATTTAGTTCAAACTGGCAAATTTATTCCACTTTAATATATCTGATACTACCTGACTTCTGTGATCACTCTGGATCTTTGACCCTGCTGTCACCTCTGACCCATGACTGTCCTCCGGTCTTCACTCTCCAGAACTTTCTGACTTCTGACTCCTCTGACCTACTTGGCTTGGCCTCCCCCCAGGTTTGTGAATGGGGCAGGTTACTTTGCTGCTGTGGCAGATGCCATCCTGCGAGCTCGAGAGGAGATTTTCATCACAGACTGGTGGTGAGCAGGGGAAAGTTCAAACAAGAAGGGGCAGGGTAGGACCTGCAGGAGACCAGCTCTGGGCGAGAGGAGGGAGTAGTAGTCTATTGACTGGGGCTTAACTTTCCACTCACCCCCTGTCCCGAATCCCAGGTTGAGTCCTGAGGTTTACCTGAAACGTCCTGCCCATTCAGATGACTGGAGACTGGACATTATGCTCAAGAAGAAGGCGGTGAGGAAAGTGGTCAGACTGGAAGGAAATTATGGCAGGGATTGCCTGTGGGTAAATGTTGGTTAGAAGGAACTTCAGCAAGGGGGAAGGTAGCGAATCTGAGACTTCAGGGGAGAAATGTGCCCATCCTGTCTCAGTGTCTGGCAAACATCACCTCCTCTTTCCTGAGGAGAACCCACAACTCCTTCTTCATGTGCTTCTTTTATCTGGTGTAGTAGATTCCTCTGCCAGTATCCATCACACTTTACTGTGCTACCTGGGTGTACATATCTGTCTCTGTCACCGGACTGATTAATATCACTAGTTCTAGCACAGGGCACAATGTCTGCCATGTGGGGGGGCATTCATAGATGTTGATGAACAGGAGAGAGATACATGGATGGTGAAGGGTGAGTGGACGAGTGAATGAACAGATAAAACACAGGGAGATAGAAGAAAAGATATTCGGTTGGAAAGGCAGATCAATACAAGGGTGGGTGTGTAGATGAATGAATGGTAGATAAGAGGGTGAGTATATGGTCGGGAAGATGGATGGAAAGAGAATGATAGGTAAGAGGGTAGATGTGTGAATATGTGAGTTGGTGGGAAGATACATGACATTCAGCCTGAGTTTGCACTCTGCATCAAAACAGTGTGTGTGGCAAGACGTGGAAGGTCTCTGGTCTGGGTGGAAGGGGCATACAGGAATCCCCAGCATGGGAGCTATTCTGGAATCTGATTCCCTCACTCAACATCAGGAGGAGGGTGTCCGTGTGTCCGTACTGCTGTTTAAGGAAGTGGAGTTGGCCTTGGGCATCAACAGTGGCTATAGCAAGAGGACGCTGATGCTGCTGCACCCCAACATAAAGGTGTCTCTAAGGCTTCACACCCCTCCTACACTACAGCCCTCTTTACCAAGCTTCCCCAAGCTTTCAACCCCCCTTCACCTTGAATGTCTTTGCCCCTTCATCTTTCCTTTCTCCCTCCCAATGCCTCTGCTGTCTTCACTCACCTAAGCCTGCCACCATGAACAACTTTGTACCTGCTGCAGGTGATGCGCCACCCAGACCAGGTAACATTATGGGCCCATCATGAGAAGCTCCTGGTGGTGGACCAAGTAGTGGCCTTCTTAGGGGGGCTGGACCTCGCCTATGGCCGCTGGGATGACCTGCACTACCGACTGACTGATCTTAGGGAGTCCTCTGAATCAGCTGCTCCACAGGTAACACCCCAAGACCTTCCTACCCCAAATTCAGCTAATCTAAACTCACACCCCTTCCTAATCCAGCCTTCCCCCTCCCGTCACTTTAAGCTCTTCCCACTCTCAGATTTCCTCCACCTTTCTGGAATCCCAAGAACCCACCTTGAAGATACTGTGACCCTTTCCATTTCTATTAACACTCTGCTCCCCCAGATCCTATAGGGACATCACATGTAGCTGAAGGGGAAGACCAGGGAATTGAACTCTCTGCGTCTCGTTCTTCCTCTCTGTGTGTGTCCCTGTGTCCCCATCACACACTCTTTCAATGCTCCTATCTTCTCTTTGACCCTGGCTCTGTATGGTGCCCATGACCACTCCTTGTCCCTGCCTTGGGTATGTTCCTCCTACAGCCTCCCATCTCGTGCTCAGACTCTCAAGGTACCTCAGACCTCTCTAACAACCAACTCTTCTGGCTGGGCAAGGACTACAGCAATCTTATCACTAAGGACTGGGTGCAACTGGACCGACCTTTTGAGGGTGAGGGTCCTCCGTCTCCAAAGCCCCCAAGAGCGGGGAGCAGGGGTCAATGTTGGGGCTGGGACTGAGAATGGGATGAGCTGGGTCAGGGATAATTGTTTTCCCTCTAGTAGGGTCCACCTCCTCCCTGCCCCATGTGTCCCCAACAGATCATCCCTGATCTCGTCCCTGACTCTTCTGGACCCCTAGATTTCATTGACAGGAAGACCATGCACCGGATGCCATGGCGGGACGTTGGGGTTGTTGTTCATGGCTCAGCAGCCCGGGACCTTGCCCGGCACTTCATCCAGCGCTGGAATTTCACCAAGGTGCTCACTCCCTCTTGAGGGATCTGAAGTTGGGAGGGAGCCAAAGCCAGCTCATCACCTCCTAATGACCCTTTCATCCTTCCACCTCAGACTACCAAAGCCAAGTACAAGACACCCATGTACCCCTACATGCTGCCTAAGTCCATCAACACTGCAAACCAGCTCCCCTTCGTCCTCCCTGGGGGGCAGTGTGCCACTGTGCAGGTGAGCCTTGCAACTTGAGCCTGCTCCTCTGCCCCCTTATAGCCCAGTGCCCCAGCCTATTCTCCCTATTCTGAGAACCCTACTGATGCCTCTCCTGGTATCAGGAACCACCATTTTCACCATCTCCCCAGGTCTTGAGGTCAGTGGACCGCTGGTCAGCAGGCACTTTGGAGAGCTCCATCCTCAATGCTTACCTGCACACCATCAGGGAGAGCCAGCACTTCCTCTACATTGAGGTCTGCTGGGGTGGATCTGGGGGCAGAGAGTGGAGGGGATGTCCCAGGAGAGACTTAGGATGTCAGTGGGATCAGTCACTGAGGGCTGGTGAAGCTGGGCCTGGAGGAGAATGGAAGCCTGGGGCCAGGACCTGGAGCCCCAGGCAGGGTTGGCTGCTAGGAGCTGAGGGCAGGAGAAAGGCGGGGCTGCTGATGTCTTATCTCTGGTCCATACCCCAGAATCAGTTCTTCATCAGCTGCTCAGATGGGCGGACGGTTCTGAATAAGGTGGGCGATGAGATTGTGGACAGAATCCTGAAGGCCCACAAGTAAGGTGGTCTGGTAGGAGGGTGGGGAGTGTGGGCATGGCTTAAACCCAGCTGGAGGGGTTGGAGTTTGGAGACAGGTCACACCTCTGACTCCACCCCCTCCTCAGACAGGGTCAGTGCTTCCGAGTCTATGTGCTTTTGCCCCTGCTCCCCGGTTTTGAGGGTGACATCTCCACAGGCGGTGGCAATGCTATCCAGGCCATTCTGCACTTCACTTACAGGTGACCCCCCCAGCCAGACACTGTTCAATGGTCCCATCCCACTCATGCGCCCTCCTGACTGTCCTGATCCCGACCTGCTGGTCATTTGAGGTCCACTTCTCTCTGACTTCTCCCACCTCCTCCCCCAGCCTCCATCTCTCTCACCTGTTCTTTTCCCTCAGGACCCTGTGTCGTGGGGAGTATTCAATCTTACATCGCCTCAAAGCAGCCAGTGAGTACTGGGACTGGGGGTCCAAGCCCTAGTTTCCTGAGGAAGGGGAGATTGGGGAGCTGGAGGTCCCTTGGGGGTGCAAGGAAGGAGGCTATTATTCTTGCATTCCTCTGAAGCCCTTTCCCTGAGACCATCCGTGGTTTTTCATGGCAGGGAGAGCATGTAAACAGGGCTGTACAGAGCTTCTGAAGTGAGGAGGTAGTTGGGACCCAGGTGCATAAGGAGGGTACCTCACCATACTCCCCCCATGCCCATCTCTTGTGCGCAGTGGGAACAGCGTGGCGGGACTACATATCCATCTGTGGTCTCCGCACACACGGAGAACTGGACAGCCACCCGATCTCTGAACTCATCTATATCCACAGCAAGATGCTCATTGCAGATGACCGGACAGTCATCATTGGTCAGTGCTGGGCCTGAGCCTCCAGCAGCAAGAGGGGGGTTGGGAGGTGTGGAACGGCCCAGCCAGGGGCAACGGAATGAATAGGGACCATGGAGGCCAAGGAAAGTGTATTGCCCCCAGGGACTGGTGGTCTGTTGGGGTGGGGCATCCCCTAGGGCCCAGGCAGATGCAGTGTGTTCTGCACCTACCCCAGGCTCCGCAAATATCAATGATCGGAGCTTGCTGGGGAAGCGGGACAGTGAGCTGGCTGTGCTGATTGAGGACACAGAGATGGAGCCATCCCTCATGGACGGTGTGGAATATCAGGCGGGCAGGTTTGCCTTGAGTTTGCGGAAACATTGCTTCAGGTAGAGCTGAAGTGGGGAGGGAAGAGAGGGTTCTGCCTTTTGAGCAGGTGTTAAGGTTGCTTAGGGGCTGTACTGGATATCCCAATAGGCAGACTAACCCCATTTAGGATACCAGCAAAGTGAGGACACCCCCCAAAATGAGAAAACATCGAAACAATAATTTAATGTATATATATATATATGTGTGTATATAGATGCATATGTACATATATTGAATATATACTTTGTATCTATACATATTTAGTGTATATGTATATATACACTGTATATATTTAGTTAATATATGTACACTATATATTTTTTTTAAAAATTTATTTATTTATGCATACAAGAACTGGGGTACAGGCCAGAAGTGTGGGGGGATTCACCAGAGACAGAGTGGGGAACAGAACAGGCAGATTGACTGAAGTACACTGCTGAGGGGAGCAGTGGACTAGACAGGAGAGGTCTTCTGCGCCATATGGATTGCTCCCTGGCCAGCCGGGGATCAAACTCGTGCTGCAGAGGCTGCAGACAGGCTCATAGGTTGCCTCTTAACCTCTTGCACCACCAGGGAGGCCCCACACTATATATGTTTAAAGCATTAGACTAGTCACCAAAATAGAGACAAATTAAAGTTCTGTTACTCATTTACACTTCCTATACTATTTAATCTGCATCTGTTTTGAACAACCTGGATAGCACAATGTAACTTTTATGGTGTTCGGGTTCTCTGAGAATCTTAACCTGGCCCTGATGGAACCCTTTTCTCCCGTAGCGTGATTCTTGGGGCTGATGCCCGGCCAGACCTGGATCTCCGAGACCCTGTCTGCGATGACTTCTTCCAGTTGTGGCAAGACACAGCTGAGAGCAATGCCAATATCTATGAGCAGGTGCGTGCTGACTGGGGCTGGGCTGAGGGGAATTCATAAATATTCCTGTTCAGAGCAGGATGGAAAAAAGCCCTACACAGAGGCTCTTCTCAGAAGGGGGTGTAATTCTGGGGGGCATATCAAAGAGTCAGTGTTGGGGGAGAGAATGTGGAGACTGGGAATGTCTAGCTGCACTGAGACTCTTGAGAATGTCACCCCAAGCATTGTTGGTGTCCATGACCCCCCCCCCCAACAGATCTTCCGCTGTCTGCCATCCAATGCCACACGCTCTCTGCGGGCGCTCCGGGAGTATGTGGCCGTGGAACCGCTCGCCACAGTCAGCCCTTCCATGGCTCGGTCTGAGCTCAACCAGGTCCAGGGCCACCTGGTCCACTTCCCCCTCAAGTTCCTGGAAGATGAGTCTTTGCTGCCCCCACTGGGTAGCAAAGAGGGCGTGATGCCCCTGGAAGTGTGGACATAGCTGTGGTGCCAGTCCAGGCGAGGTCACCAGCCAGTGGGATCCATCAGGTCTGACTCCCTGCCTCTAACCCTGAGGATTGAGGGCAGTGCCTTTGAGACCCAAGGGAGGCAGGCATCCCTGATAGGGATGAGAGAAGTCACAGAGGACCCTTTCTTGAGATATAGCCAAAGATGGCACCCAACTTTGGGCTGGGGAGGCAGGAGGGTCCCAGAGAAGTTCATCCCCTGCTGCTCAGTTCAAACCACTGCTAACAGAAGACGCATAGCTCCTGCCTGGATGCCTGGGGTCAAGGATCTGATTCAGGAAGAGTGAGTTCTGCCCTGTGCCTTCCCCTCTCCCTTCCTTTTCCTGCCTTTGAGCCCTGTTCTGCCCCCAGAGCCTCTCCCAGGCCATTACTGCGAAGGTGGAAGGAAGGATGAAGCCACCCCTGGCTTGAGCTCCTACAGTGAGGAGGCTAATAGTGGTGAATACACACTAACTCCCTCCACCAGCCTGCTGACAAACACTAACTTTGTATCAGTTCAAGAAACATTTCATAAATAAAAGTTTAGAAAAGATCCCTGCCTCTTCCTTCACTGAACTGAGTGCTGGTCTCACCCACCCTCCATGCTACACGTGGCACCAGGCCCCTCACCTTCTCTCTCTACCACTCCTTTCTTCTTTCTGCTGTTTCCATCTTGCTTAACTTGGTATGTAACTGAGGTATGTAAAGCACTTGGCATACATTAGGTCCTCAATAAATGTACAAGTGGATAATAAGAGCTTGGTCACCCAGCTGCTGGGAGGAGAAGGTGTTCACGTGGTGTAGCTGGGTAGAAAGAAGGGCAGGGCCAAACCAAGATACTTGGAGAACTGTGTCACTGCTGTTGCAGCTGCAGGTGAGAGAGGTGTACCAAGAAGGGCCTAGAGGGGCTGCCCTTTGTTTCCCAAGTGACAGCATGGGAGAAGTTTAGGGAAGCCCCTGTGGGAGTGGTTAAGTGTATGTTAGAGGTCCAGAAGAGCAGGACCCAGATCCGGGACTTGTCGCATTACGTAAGTGACCTTTTCAAGTCACCTCATCTCTGTGAACCTTGGTCGTCCCAACTGGGAAATGGGCGTAATGCCTCTATAACTGACTTGCTGTGAGATTCAGTTATTGACTTAAATATTTTATTGAGCACCTACTATTTGCTAGACACTGTTCTAGAGTAAATACAATAAGTCTCCACCCCTGTGGGGCACTTAGGCTTTAGGCACATTTGTCCTAAAGTTTCACTGTCCAATACAGCAGCCACTAGCCCTATTTGACAATTTGCATTTAAATTAAAGTCAGGAAGAATTCAACATTTAGTTCATCAAACATTCGTTAGCCACATTTCAAGTCCTCAGCCACCACTGGTTGCAGATACAGACCATTTCTGTCTTTGCAGAACGTTCTACCAGATGGCACCGCTCCAGAGGGAAGAGACAATAAAGGCACAATCTAGGGGACAGCACAGCACACATGGGTTGAGGGTAGTTAGCTCCCAGGTTGAATGGAGAAAAAGGAGATCATGGGTGTACTGAGAGCTCTTTGAGTGAATTTAAGACTTATTTCTTGAGGGGTGGCTATATGAATTTTTATCTTACATATTATATTTTCATATAAAAGATAAATTTATTCTTTTTCTATATCAAAATATTTTGCAATTAGGAATAAGCAATTAGCACAGGTCCTGGCTCTTGCCCCTCACTCCCTCCCCAAGTCTTACTCCTCACTTTCAGAGAGTCCACAGGAACAGGAAGACTTCCTGGAATAGGGGATGGGCTGGAGCATGAGAGAGTGTGCTGGAGGATGATGACATGGAAAAAGGGGAAGCTGTTGCCTTGCCCCTATCCTCCATTCCTCTGAAGAAGGTACTTCTGCCTAAGAAATCCCCCCTTCCTTATAGCGGACCCTTGGTACTAATTGGCATTCTGCTAATTAGCCTCATTGTCAGCACTAAGTGCCTCTTTCCCTAGGGCACCATTACCTCATTAAGTGTGGAGTGGGGTGGAGACAGCAAGTGCCTGGGCCAGGGTTTAGATGGGTTTCTGCTTCACACTATTTTTTTTAAAAGATTTATTTATTTATGCATAGAAGAACTGGGGTGTAGGCCAGAGGTGTGGGGAGGGGTCTAGGGTAATAGGATTTACCAGAGACACAGTAGGGAACAGAACAGGCAGAGCTACTGAAATACACTGCTGAGAGGAGCAGCAGGCGAGTCAGGAGAGGTCTGCTGTGCCATGTGGGTAGCTCCCTGGCCGGGGATCGAACTCATTCTGCAGTGGCTGCAGATAGCTTCACAGGTTGCGTCTTAACCCCTGAGCCATCAGGGAGGCCTTGTTTCACACTATTTTGTGCAAAGACCTATCTGCCCTCCCCTCACTAGTCTTGCAGTTTCCTGAATGGAGGGTAGAAAGCAGTGGACTTAGAGTGAGAAGAGTTGGTTGTAGACACAGAAGAAGGAAAATGAGTCTAGCCTCCCAAGGTGGGTGGGAAACCTGGGGGCAACTGGGTTCATTCATTCCCCACAGCTCCTACAATTTGTCTTATTTTAACTTTGGGGGGATGCAATATCCAGGGCTGCATCGGTCATATTGTCCATTTTTCAATTTTTGTTATGGACAAGTTTATATAAAAACAGAGAATAGGATGGTGAATCCTCATGTATCCATACATCCATAGTCCAGCTTTATTAATTATCAGCATGGGGCCATTCTAATTTCTCTACCCTCTCCTCCACCTCCTCAGATTACTGATTCTTGAGACTCAAGGTGGTATTATCCTATCTCTGTAGTCATAATTTATTCATTCACTGATCAGTATCTCTTTATTAAACACACTGTGAGTCAGGCACTTGTACATTTATTGAGGACCTAATGTATGCCAAGTGCTTTACATACCTAATTTTATTTTATCCTAACCTCTGTTATTATCCTAATTTACAGGTGATAGAGTTGAGCCTCACTCAGAGAGGTTAATGACTTGCCCAAAGCACTAACTTGAAATTATTGTTTTATTCCTACTCTCCGTGGTCTTAACCTTGAACGATTATATATCACAGTGCCTACTCAGACAACGGATGCCTTCACTCACTTCCATGTTATTGAACCTCCAGTGGGTGCCATTCCCAGTGCTAAACAAGATTGACATTCCTGTCTTAAGGAAATTCAACAGACATGTTTAGTTCTGGGAACTGTGAGTAGAGTATTTCAGTATGGCTAGAACATATGAAGTTGAATGTGGAATACTGAAAAATAAGGCAGGAGAAGCAGGCAGAATCTTGAAGAGTTTTTGAAGCCACATTTGACCCTACTGAGAAGACAGAGGGGGGCTGAAGGGTATTGAATAGGAGAATGGCATCAGATTTGAGTTTTAGGAAAAACATTCTGGGTATGGAGAATTGATGTATGGGAGTCAGGCAGAGAAGCAAAGTAGGAGGCTAATAAAGGATGGAGGTGAGTGGGGATAGAGGCTTGGACGAAGACAATAGCAAGGTAAATAGGAGGAAGAGTGGAAGCAAGACTGGGTGTGCATTCAAATGAGAAGGTTCCAGAAAGGAGGGCATTAGCCCTTTTCCCAAGGGCTTTTCACACACACTCTCCTAAATGAGTGTTTATATTAAGGTCGGTGTGAGGGGTCTTTTAAAAGTAGTGTTGTTGCTAGAAGTGACCTTGGGAATCACACAGCCTTCCCTCTCAACTTGTGTGAAAGAAAAGCCCAGAAAAGCAAAGCAACTTGTTCAAGGTCACACAGCAAGTCAGCGGCAGTCATCTAACCCCCAGTGAGCTAATGGTTGGAGCTCAGACATGTGCCAACACGCCTAAGGTGACCTAAGCAAGATTTGGAGGGCCTGAGCATAGATTCTGTCTCTTCCCCTCCACCTCTCCCTGCCACCCCTTCCCCACACACAGCACCAGCGATCAGTCCATGAATAATGGTTGAAACAGTTCCTTTGTGCAGAACCCTATGTTAACAGAGGTGCAGAGATAGAGGTCTGCAGCAGATCTGCTCAATATCCCTCCTCAATACCACCCACAACTGCCACAGAAGGGGTTAAAGGGTATTCCTGTGGCAGTCAGAACCGCCCCTCCACCTCCTAATTCCCTTGTGGTTTCTCCAGCCAAGTTCTCACCGAGAGGCCCCACCCTCAGCGGCTCCACTGTTGCCATAGCAATTAGGTGGGTGGACAGCCCATCCTATCTAGAGGCCACCCAGCCCTCGCGTGGGGAGTTACCATAACAACCCCCCTAGTAATAGAGGGGGTTGGGTCCCGCCCCCCTTCCCCCGCAAAAAGAGAGGTGGGTGACTTGATTGGCAGCTGGGCACACGAAAGAGGAGGGGAAGGGAAGGATAGGCGTCAAAGGACAGCTGAGAAGGAAACTGGGGAGAAAAAGGGCAGAAAAGAAGGAAAAGGCGAGGAAACGCTCGTGCGCACGCGCGCCGGCTGGTGGGCGCGCTCCGGGGCCGCCTCGGCCACCGCCCACTTCTCTCATGCCAGGCTCGCGCGGTCGCTCGGTCCTCGCGCGCGCCTTTCGCGCTCTCGCGCGCGCATGCGCGCAGGTGTCGGTGCCCAGGGGGAGGGGGAAGCCTGCGCGCTCGCGTCACGTTCCCTCTGCCACCCTCCCCGGGCACAGCCAGTCCGCGCCTGCGCAGGAGAGGCGGACGGCTCGGGTTGCAGGCTCCGGGGCGAGAGCGCCTGTCAGTCGGTGGGTCGGTCCTCCCGCCGGCCCTCCCCCTCCCCGTTCTCCGGGGGAGGCGCGGTGGAGTCCGCCCCCGAGATCCCCCGATGGGGGAGAAGCGGCGACGGCGGCAGTGGAATAACCGAGCCGGAGCGTGAGCGGCCCCGGGGCCCCGTTCCCGGCGGAGGCCATGGGCGACCCAGCCCCCGCCCGCAGCCTGGACGACATCGACCTGTCCGCCCTGCGGGTGAGCGAGCCGCCCCCCAGCCTCACCCCGGCTCCCGTCCTCGCCACGCGGGAGCGGGGAGATTGCACACCTCACGTGCTCCCCGGGCGCCCCTCCGCCGGCCCCGCGCCCCTCGCCGACCCCCGCCTCATCCCCGGGGCCCCCACCCTGTGGTCCCTTCTCTGCGAGCTGCGGATTCCTGGGGCCAGTTCGGTCCCCACCCAGCGGTGCCCCGCCCCCACACTTCCCTGCCGTCTGGACCCTCACTCGGGTTCCGGACCCCCTTCCTCAAGGTGTAGGAGGGTCACGTGCTGATTCCCCTTCACTTAGGCCCCCTTCACCTGCGGGATGTCGATTGTGGTTCCTCCCCTGCCCCTTACCTCCTCTGGGCCCTCTTGCCACCCTTGCCTTAAGATTTACTTAAATCTTCATCCCTCTCCTCTTTTCGGCTTCTCGAATTTTGACTTTGCAAGTCTTGACAGCCTCCCCCTCATCACCCTTTCTCCTCCTCGCCCACCCCTGTATTGTATCTCTTCCCTCGTCGGGGTTTCAGCCTCCCGTCTCTACCCCACACTGCCTGCCGTCCCCGCATCCCCACGCTCGGCTCTCCCTGGCCCTTCTCGCTCGTGTTTCAAGTGCAGCAGTCC